GAAGAAGAATCGACCACTGTTTATACATTTAAGAAATAGTAAACTATGTTTAGCACACTATCTATAAGCTATTCATTAAAAAACGCTTCTACTCAACTACAAAAGAGTAAAGACAGACGAGCGCAAACAAAAATAAACATAAAAAAAGAAGAAGATAAAAACATAACATGTTATCACTATGTTGAGGATTGTTGTGATTACAGCGATCAGGACGATGAATACTGTATAGCGACACTGCAAACAGTTGTAAAACAAAAGGGGATCCGATTTGGTAAAGAAGCTTGTGTGTGTGTGTCTTTAGTTTTACATGTATGCAACTACTGTTTAAACAATTTATAATGTGTAATAATTTTTATAGTGGTTATACATTAAAGCATCTCCGATATATGATGCCATTTTTCATAGCAAAATGAAATAATTGCAAAATACACTTGAATTTTTCTCCAATGTATGATTGCATTTTTTATTTGAAAAAGAATTTTTAGTTATAATTTTTAATTATTAATTACTAATCATACGTATATTTTCAAATTTTACAAATAAACCCATTCATTTAACTAATTTAAAAATGTATTATAGTTTATATCATTATATTTCTACTAAATAAATATTATTTGTATTTTAATTTTAGAGAGTATAATGTTTTTATATTTATAACCATTAATAAAAAAAAATTATCATCAAAATAATTATTTATCTCCTAAACAAATATATTAAGAATTTGAAGGACTAATTTATAAATAAAAAAGTTCAATTAAAAAATAGAATTTGATATAAAATGATTCTATATGTGAAATCAAAAATAGCATTATATCATTATGCAATTGAAAATGAGATGAGGTTGAAGTTTATTTTATTTTAAAATGAAATTTGAAATCAAATTTAATATATGGTTGGAGATGCTCTTAAAAACATTAATTTTTCAGAGTTTAATTCACCTCAACATTTAATTGTCTTTGTCTTTTTTGAGAAAAAAGAACTTTAATTTAGTTTTGTCACGGGTAGTTATACTTTCACCCAAGTATGGGTTTAGTTTACTTATTAATGTGTTTTTCTGTCCCTCGAATATGTTAACCAAGCCATTTTTATCAAACAAAAACGTATATCAAAAATACATAAATTATGGAAAACCAAGGGACCATTATGCAATTCATGAAAAGAGCATACTAATATCTTTTGGGGAAAATAGTAAGTACTATACTATAATAAAGTTGATGGCTTCTAGTGCACAGCATCCAACAAGAATACAAAGAAAAAGAGTTGGACAAAATAAGTAATTTCTTATACTATAGTAATTCAGCCAAGTACAAACTACAAAAGCAGTGTTTCCATTAATGGTGAGAATCTGTTGTCGGCAAGAATAGTGTACGAGGTTTGAAATTTCTATGGGTAAACGTGGACGTCTCCTGTCCGTTTATTTTTTATTTTTTTACATACAAGCCTTTTTGTTTTAGTTCTCTTGTAATAATAACCTTTTGTTTGCACCAAAAGAAAAACACAACCTTTTGTTTCCATCAGACACACACTTCAGTCTTCACCAAAGATTAATGATGCTGTATTTATAAATTATTTAAACTCCACATGTAACTATGTAAGAATTTTCTTTTTGTCTTAACATAAGGTCATGTGGATTACTTTTTCTGTTTTTTCTTTTCCAAGTATATTCATATATAAATGATAATGTATAATAATTATGCCATAAATAATTAGGCCATATATATATATATAAATGTTTTAATCGATTACAAAACTGTTTTCATGCCAAAAAAAAAAAAGATTAGTAGATGAAATGAAATCTCCAACTTTTTGTTACAAGAAAAAACAATATGTACGTGGGATTGAACAAGTACTCAAACAATAAACTAATTCTATATAGAATACTTCCTTCTTCTTTTTTTTATCGATAGTGCAACTCGTTTTGAAAAAAATCTGGTTTTAGTTATCTGAAAATTTTATTTCCCTTGTTAATATGCTTATTATCCTTGTTAAGCTCATATCCAAAACGCAGTTTTCTTACGTAATTATTATCGTGAAAAGTCATATTTTTACAAGTTCAATCAAAACAAAATCTTAACTCTTCAAGATATATATGCTGTTGAACAATCTGATTAAGAATAACATTCTTAAAAACACAAATACGTACAGTCCAAAAAACTAAGCTGTTCACATATTTGGACTGAGTACTATCTACCGAAGACAAAAAAATAAATTGATTTTTTCTACGTTAATCCTCTGAATACTCTTAGATTTGAAATGAGTTCATTATATATTTTCATCTTTTTGTTAAACATTACAGAACATGCCAAGCACAATCATGACTTAATTACAATCATAAAGAACATCACATCAACTAAATATATAATATGTTTCGAATCATTTCTTGAACCGCTCTGAAATCACTCAAGTAATCACAGTATAAGTTTGCTTATTTTCAAAACAATTCCCAAAGTGTGTCTGAAGGCATTGGCACGCACACGCATTATACATACTTAAAATGGAGTGGTATCTCTTTATGACGCGACATGTCATCAACTTCTTTTTGCTAGTTCATAAAATTCATTTGATTTATATATTTGTTTTCTCATAACTTAACGTTTTGTGTAATTATAGGTATCAATGGCTAACACTAACAAACAATCAGTTTTTTCCCCTTTTGCGATGGCTAATACAATCAATCAAGTTTTTCGGTAAGACATGCAGAATGGTATAAAGTACTTTGTGAAACTTTCAAAATGGATATACTCATATAAGCGACAAGAAATTATAACTTTTCATTAAACATTTTAAAAGCATACCAGTAAATAAGCGATTGATAACAGAAGGAAACATATATATATTTTAAATTAGGCTAATGGCAAAAGAGAGAGTCCAAATGTACTTTTCATTAGACTAGAAAATGGATATATGTATATAAAATTTTAGTTTAGCTTTTGTGAAGCATAATGAATGAATATATATATATATATATATAAGAGAAAAAAAATGATAGCTTCTCATTATACATTTTAAAAGCATAGTGAATTTGCAATTGAAGGAAACATGATTTATTTTATAACTAACAGTCTTAGCATAAAGCTTTAAAAACAATTTATTCTAATGGCAAGACTAAAGAGAGTCGAAATGTAAATTTTTTCACACCATACATGATACATGTTAACCATCACAAACATATATAGTATCAAATATCAACTCAACTCATTGCCTTCAACTACATTTACGCGTGAGTCTATCATAAACATATATATATCGATGTTTCAAATATTGTGTGTGAAAAATACGGATAAATTAGATTATTAGTTCGTTAAATCCAAATGCAGTGAATATGTCATCAATTGAAAACGTATCCAACATAGTATTATATATTTAGTACCCATGAATTTTATCTAGTGGCTTCTTAGACTAAAATAACGATAAAAGAAAGAGTAAGATAATAATCGTGGGGCATGGAATACGATGCCATTTGAATTAACTATTGATTATCCGGTTCAAGTAATAACATACTAATATTCTTAGAGCCAAATTTTGCTATTGAATTTAGTTGATTAGATTAAAATTAAATCGAGAAGAATCCGACAACTGTCAAGAAAATGGATGTTGACATGAGGTTTCTCCAATATACTTAAAAATAAGATTAATTATTTGGCCATTAGATTAATGCAAATGTAATCAAGCTACCTTAATTGCTGATACTTTGCGAGTTGACGTGCAAATAGGCCTATTGGTGATTCTCTTTGGAAGATCCAATCAAAATATAAGGCTTTAGGAGATAGTAGTAAATACTTAAATGACGTGATGACACACATTTGATGATTCATATTTTCACAAAACGATTCCCATAATAAAATAAAAAATAGAAAATGAAGATAATATAAATCTTGATGGTGAGAGAAAAAAAAAAGACAAACCTTGATCATATCAGGTTAGTTCTTGACACTAATTACAAAGAAAAAGCCTAATTTGGACTTGATAAGAGACCAAGAAAGATAAACATCTTCTTCGTATAATCATCATCATACCATCTCATTAGTACCGATCCGACAATTTCTCATACTCTATACAAATCTAAAAATATGCATTTTTATATATTATATTTAATATAAAAAAAACTCTAGTTAAAATTTTATAAAACAATCTAGTTCCAAACAAACAGTTTAAATTTGTATAAGTGATTTTGTAAGAATTTTTTTAAAATTTTTTTTATATCTTTTTGCATTTTTACTTACAAAATCATTCAATTAACTTATATAATCGAGTTTTTTAATTATAATTATTTCAATCGATAATAAAATCAGCATATTCAATATTTCTTATGACATCATAGATAATTAACTTTAATATTATAGATCATAAATAAATTTTTTATGACATTGGTAGAGATGAGATTCGTACCATCTCTACAAGCCCGATATGAATTCTGGTCGGCCCGTTTTACAAGTTTCAAGTCGGCGATATAAATGAAAATCTTCCATTTATCAAGCGACCCAGGAAATTCTTTCTTATCGGTAAAAAGATTTTCCTATTCTAAACACGTTGAAGACCGACATGGTCAGCTATAAATATAGAAAGTCGTTGACTTCTCATATCATTCTAAAATCATCTATCGAGACCTAGGGCAAACTAAGCAATCTCATTTTCTAGCTTTCGATTTATTTTTCATAAAAGTTTAGATCAGCGTTCTTATTCCAACGACCTAAACCTCATTCAAACTCCGGCTTCTTCTAATAAAAAACTTCTCTTTAAACCCACAAACCCTAGTTCTCTTATAAATCGAACTTGAGTTTTTACAGACATTATAAATAGTCAACTTTAACTTTAATATTATAAGATCACAAATACTTTTTAATAAAATATATACAAAACTCGAAGAGACAAAGTAATTTAATAGAGCAAATTTTTGAGACACTTTCATTAGCGATTTTTTTTTAAAAAAAACATAAATTTACTAACAAAAGCCTTAAAACTTTATTTACATATAAACATTGATAAATAACTCTAATATGGAAAATATTAAAAAAAGATGTCCCTAAATTTTTTGCTGCCCTAATCCTTAGCTTCCTTTGCTTAGCCTATGGGCCGGCCCGCTCGTACATTTTGTTTAATAGAAGATACTTCCAACAAAAACAAATGAACAAGCAAACCCTTTACCAAATAATATATACATTTGATCGCTAATCATCCGATGCAGTAACATGGTAAGCCTAATTCAAATCATCAATGTCTAAATGTTACCTTTTCCTAAGAAAGTTGAATTGAACTATTGCGATAATTTACAGCATTTGGAGGTTTTTTGTGCCTCAGCACGCCTTTGTTTCGCCTTTTTAAACCTCCCCATGAAAATTAATCACGTCGCTGTGCCCTGCATTATCCTCATCATTAGTGTTAAAGCCTTTATATTGTAATCAATAAAATCAGAGGGCTTATGGAGTTGTTTAAGCAGCTTCTCTTCTCTTTGTTGTTAAACACTTACTCAAATGTTATCAGCTCAAAGTTGCTTCCATGCTAAATTGTGATCATGATCAAATATTACCTTGAGCATGAATGGTGTTGATTCCTGGACCTTTCAGCTCAGTCCCGTCGTCGCTCAGCAACGAAATTCCACCTGATGTTATATGGAACGGGAAGGCTAAAGGAGGCGACATAGGAGATTTCGCCACCTTAATGATTCTCTGACCTGCAAAACATGGAAACCGAATCATATGAATGAACATTCTTGGTTAAGTTACTGTGACCTTTACAAAAATGGGTTAAGCCTTGCCTGACTTGGCTTCAAGAACTAGCCGGATGGTTACAGCATGAGCCCAGTTAATCCCCAATGCAGCAACAAGGTGAGAATCATATGTGCTTGTTTGTTCTTGAAACCCATCTTTTAGTTTAGCTGTTGTTACAGAGGAAATATATATGATTGTGGTTGAATGGGACTTAACAAGGACAATATACATACTTCAGTTTCTGTTGACTGTTACCTTGGAAAGAATAATGACTAGTCTCATCACGGTTTTGAGATCTAACTTGATTAGTCACAACTATAGGAATCCTCGAAAATTCAGCAAGCGATCTGGAAAATTATCAGAGAATCAATACCAATCTACAGATGAAGTGCTGCTGTGAGCTGACTCAAGAGACTATAGTTCATCATACTTTAAGAAAGAGATATGCCAACCCAACTGATGCTGTCTCTGAGCTACTGGTTTGTTCTCGCTGAAACAAAAAATCAATTACTCGATTAAATTAACGAAAACTGAAAACGAATACCTGATGAGAAATGATCAGCAGGAAGCTAGAAATAACACTAACCCTGAAAGAAGAGCTGTCATACTATCAATCACTAGAAGCTTTACTTGGTTCTGAAGAATCGAATCCTTGAGTTCTTGTATACTGCTGATTAGAAAGAACAATTTGATCATAGTTCCTAAATATCTCAACTCATGTATGACAGAACATCAAACTAACACTGTTTCAGCCAAAAATCAAAACAACGAGTGAAGAAGTCTTACGCACTTTCCAGTAAACTCAGCTAAAGAAGTTGGACGCAAAACAATGATTCTTCCTGCCATCTGTTACAGCAAAAAGTGGTTATGTAAGCAAATCTCGAACATGAGAAAGACTTAAACCAAAAGGCATAAGCTGTTCCACAACCTCTTGTGCCATTCCTTTAAGGTGAAACACTTCAGGGAAGCTTTTCAATCCAATCTCTATCACCCTGAGTAATACATACATTCTCTTGACGATTTTGTGCATAGTGGAAACAAAAACCAAAAAAGAAAGAAAGAAAGAAACAGTGTTACCTTCTTGAACTAAACTTGGACTCAACGTCTATGTATATCACACGACCATCCAATCCTCCGTAAGCCGTTGGAAACGAAGCCGATAGAGCAAGTTTCATGCAAAACTGCATACAGTAGCAAACAACATTCACCATATGCAAACACACTGAAGCTAGAACTGATCCAAGCTTGAAGAAACTCACCTGAGATTTACCAATACCAGGAGGACCAACTAACTCTGTCAAAACACCAAAAGGGATCCCACCACATAAGGCTGAGTCTAACCCTTTCAAGTGTGTGGGAAGATGACCTGATAAGTGTTCGTTTTCGGCTTTTCTCTGTAGTAAAGACAGAGCCTTTTAAGAAGATTGGTGCAAAAAAAAAGGGATTAGTTTTAAGGATGGTGGTGAAATCACAATTTTTATAATGTAGAGAGAGCTTAGCTTTACAGATAAGCATGGTGGAGAAGAAGCTTCACTGATGAGTTTAACCGCAGATTTTGTCTCCTTCATTCCAATATCTAGAAGCTCCATCAATTCGAATTCCGTCATTGATAATGCATCCTAAAGAGATTTTCAATTAGATAACCTAATGAATCTACATCATCCATTGAAATTACCCCCAAATTTAAAAACCCTAAGACGAAATTTGTAAACCCAGTACGATAGCAAAATGGGATAGAGATTGATTAAACGCGAAGTACAAAATCAGGAATCTGGGCATTTGATTGAGTGAAAAGAAAAAGAAAAAAAAAAACCTTGGCGGTGATGATGTTTCGCGCGGCGAATATATTAGAGATTCTCTTGTGAAGTCCGATTTCTCCTATGAGCTTGTTCGCCATCCTGTCTCCGTCTCCGTCTCCGGCGTCGGAGTGATTCTCTTCTCTCTCTCAATCTCAATCTATCTCCCGCCAAATTGGAGAGGGTAAGTAACTTGGGCCTGAAAAGTGAAAAGACCGGCCCATTTTGGCATTTATTAAGTTTTTCTTCTAATGAGTTTATTGGGCTTCCTTTTATTGAGAGGGAGATGAGTTTAACCACAGCCGCCGCAATGAACTCTAGCCACCACCACCACCGAAACAAAATGGTGAAGAGTGTGTTATCTTAACAAGTGCATGCAGCTTTGCTACGTGAAAATATGTATTTATTGAAACGTTATTTATAGAAGAAATATATAATACCACGAAACGTAATAAACAAAAAAATGTTGCAAAAAAACAGACGAAATAAACATTAAAAACAATCAAAAGAGCTATAGAAACTATGTGAGAAATAAATAAAAAAAAACAGAAAATATATTTACAGTAGTTCAAGATTATGGTAAAATCATTACAAAAATGTAGGCATGGTAAATGGAAGGACGGTCGAATTAATGTTTCATATTTGTGGGTAATTGATTAGATAATGACATATTACTGTTCAACGTTGTGGTATGGTTAGAGCTTTTATGATTTTAAGGGGCCTCTATCGAAGTTTAAAGTAGTGTACGTTTATCAGTGATGATGACAAAAGAAACGAAAATTCCATATTAATATTTTTATTATTCAATCAATTTGGCAATACTCGTTTAGTTAACAGTAATATTATTAATAATTTTATTCAGCAATATTTTAGTTGCACTTTTTATTTTAGATATTGTACCACTTGATCGAAGAGTTGTGTGCTTTTTCAATGGGGTGGTCATAACAATTAAAAAGGGCGGTGGATGAAATCGGAATCTTTGTTTGACCAACTTATCTTTATCGAGTTTCCTGGAATATGTTATCATAGCGACGTTACTGAAATTCAGATTTGGCATGATGTATGTTAATGAAAAATTGCGTTTGTTGATATGACATAAAAGAAATCCTGATACATTTCAAAAATTCATAATTCGTGAATTTTAGTGATTTGCTAGTAAACAGTTATCAAAGATAACAAAGCTTTTGATCATATATATATGCTCAAGTAGAATTTTTTTAGAGATATCTGTTGAAGTTAGTAATGAAGTTCAAAAGTCAGCAATGTGAATATGCGTGGAGCGGAAGTTTGCTGAACTAAAGTTCAACTCAAGTGACTCAGCATCTTTGGGACCACTTCGTTATAGCCGTTTGCTTCCCGTCATTTAGTAATGGAGCATGAGTTGTTTGTCGTCTTCAGACAAGGGCCCTGTTTGGTGATCATACAAACTGCAGAGGCTGTTTCCCGAGGCTGTCGCCGTTTGGTGCTAGGGCAATTTGGAGTTTTGCTATTTAAGTTCAGTAGAGGTTAAGAGAGAAAGTTAGAGCAGAAGTGAGAACAATACAAATGGTGTAAACTTTATTGTCTTTGTTCTCGGGGGATACAAGGGTATGAGATAAACCGAGAGAAACATCTTGTAAGGGAGTTTTGGAGTTTTGGATCTCTGTGTAACCTTGTGATCTAGTTGATTCCGGGAATAAATCCCGGCGAGACGTAGTGATCCGTGTTTATGGGCGTGAACTCGTTAAATCGTGCGTGTCTGCTCTGTTTTTTCCTTTCTTCTTTAAACCTCTGTTATTTCCTCTGTTCTTTAAACGTGCAAGTGTTCGAGCTTATTCAAAGGAGCTCTTGGTTTGTTGTTGATTCTCAGGAGTAAAGGCTTCACCTTTCGAGCCCAGAATCATAACAGAGTGGTATCAGAGCAAAGGTTCGTTATCCGTGGTTTGATAGAGATCTCTCAAGCATCGAATCATGGCGTCGTCAAGAGTGGATATGGAAAAGTTCGATGGACACGGAGACTACACGATTTGGCAGGACAGGCTGATAGCCCATCTAGATCTTCTTGGTCTAAGCAAGTTCTTGGAAGATGAAGGGTATGAGACTACAGATTCGGACGCAACCGAAGAGGATTTGAAAGAAGCTAAAGTAAAGGAGGAAACTTTAGCGGAGAAGAGGAAGAAAACAAGGAGTACCATTGTCTTGAGCCTCACAGATAGAGTTCTGAGAAAAGTCAGGAAGGAGAAGACTGCGCCAACGATGATAAGGGCTCTAGACAAGCTGTATTTATCTAGAGCTCTTCCTAAATGCATCTACTTGAAGCAGAAGCTCTATGGTTTCAGGATGTCCGAAAATATATCCGTTGAATCAAACATAGATGATTTCCTTCGTATAATCATAGATCTGGAGGACGCTGATGTTGAAGTTTCTGATGAAGACCAAGCCATCTTGCTTCTTATATCTCTACCGAAGCATTTTGACCAGCTGCGAGATACTCTAAGATACAGCTCACGCAAGGCCACGCTTACTCTTGATGAAGTTACTGCAGCGATTTACTCAAAAGAGCTGGAGTTTGGTACAAGTTCGAAAGGGTCTAAGAGTCAAGGAGAAGGCCTTTATGCGAAAGGCAAAGGGGAGCAGAGAGGAAGAAGCGAATCTAGGGGAAAGTCTTCAAAACAGAACCGCTCAAGGTCTAAGTCTAAAGGGAAGAAAACCTGTTGGAATTATGGGGAAGAGGGTCATTTTAAGAATGCCTGCACAAACCGAAACAGAAATCCTCAAAGACAAAAAAACCAAGCTAACAACACTGGAAGAGGAGAGGCAGCAGTGGTACAGAGAAATCAGGATGAGGCTGCAGTATTATATGTATCAGAAGCATTACACTCTACGGATGTAAGTCTGCAGGATGTATGGATTATGGATACAGGGTGCAGTTATCATATGACTCATAAAAGAGAATGGTTTGAGACTCTGAGTGAAGACGCTGGAGGATCAGTAAGGATGGGAAACAAGACTGTGTCAAAGGTTAAAGGGATTGGGAACATCAGGATCAGAAATGATGATGGCTCAACGGTTCTGCTTACTCAAGTGAGGTATATCCCTGATATGGATCGAAATTTGTTATCTTTGGGAACCTTAGAAGAGTAGGGATGCAGTTTTGAATCAAGCTACGAGATTCTAAAAGTAAAGAAAGACTCAGCAGTTCTCATGAAAGGAAAACGGTATGAGAAGCTCTACATACTTCAAGGGAAGCCTGAAAATGGTCAGTCTTTAGCCGTTGAAAGAAGGAACGATGAAACAGTCTTATGGCACAAAAGGCTAGGACACATGAGTCAGAGGAACATGGACATACTGGTGAAGAAAGGCTTCTTGGACATGAAGAAGGTTTCTACGCTAGAGATGTGTGAAGACTGCATTTACGGCAAAGCAAAAAGAGTGAGTTTTGATCTAGCAACCCATGACACAAAGAACAAGTTGGACTATGTTCATTCCGATTTGTGGGGAGCGCCCTCAGTCCCACCATCTCTGAGCAAATGCCAGTACTTCATCTCACTAATAGATGATTACTCGAAAAAAACGTGGGTGTACTTCTTGAAGCATAAAGATGAAGCGTTTACAGCATTTGTCGAGTGGAGTGTCATGGTAGAGAATCAAGCGGAAAGAAAGATCAAAATACTCAGAACAGATAACGGTTTGGAGTTCTGCAATCATCAATTCAACGATTTCTGTAAAGCAAAGGGGATTGTAAGGCACAGAACATGCGCTTACACGCCACAACAGAATGGGGTTGCAGAAAGGATGAACCGGACCATTATGGAGAAAGTAAGAAGTATGTTGAGTGACTCTGGTTTACCAAAAACGTTTTGGGCAGAAGCAACCCAAACAGCTGTCACACTCATCAACAAGACACCATCCTCAGCGATCAGTTCAGAGATTCTTGATAAGAGATGGTTTGAAAAACAGTCTGCATACAGCTATTTGAGAAGATTTGGCTGTCTATCGTTTGTTCACTCGGATGATGGGAAGCTGGTTCCTAGAGCAAAGAAAGGAGTACTCTTAGGCTATCCTGTTGGAGTGAAGGGATACAAGGTTTGGTTGATGGATGGGAAGAAGTGTGTTATCAGCAGGAACGTTATGTTTCAGGAAAATGCAGTTTATAAAGACCTACTGCAGAGTAACAAGGGAGCGCCAATAGACCAAGAAGATTCATCAAGCTCTCCTCTTGACATTGACATAGAAGATGAAAGTGGTACAAGCTCTGGTGGAGATCTCTTGGAAGAGATAGGATCCCCGAGAGATCGATCACCAGCTCAAGAACAACATCAATCGGATCACACAGAATCAGATGATGATGAGATTGTGGGAGAAACTCCAGAAAGTTATCACTTAGCTCGTGACAGGCAGAGAAGAGAGATCAATGCTCCCAAGAGGCTCATTGAGGAAATGAACTATGGAGAAGACACTGATGACGAAGAAGAAGAGTTTACGGCTGAAGCCCTTGTCACTACAGTTGATGGTGACAAGATTGAACCTGCAAGTTATCAGGATGCCTTAAGAGATGAAGATTGGGTCTTATGGAACGGTGGTATGGGAGAAAAGATGGATTCTCTACTAAAGAACCACACGTGGACAGTCGTTACAAAACCTGCAGGTCAAAGGGTCATAGGCTGCAAGTGGATTTTCAAGCGTAAGCCTGGAATTCCTGGAGTTGAAGAGCCGAGATATAAGGCAAGGCTTGTTGCAAAGAGATATGCACAGAAAGAAGGAGTCGACTATAAAGACATCTTCTCACCAGTGGTGAAACATGTATCTATAAGGATCTTATTAGCCATTGTTGCAGAAGAAGACTTGGAGCTTGAAGAGCTTGACGTCAAAACCGCTTTCCTCCATGGAGAACTGGATGAAAAGATTTATATGGAACCTCCAAAGGGATTTGAAGATCAGTTCAAGCTGGGGCAAGTGTGTTTGTTAAACAAGACTCTGTATGGCCTTAAGCAGTCACCAAGAAAGTGGAATCAGAAGTTTGACAGTTTCATGACAGAGATTGGTTTTGAAAGGAGTCTGCGTGACAGCTGTGCTTACATCAAGAATCTCAGTGATGGTTCAAAGGTCTACCTTCTGATCTATGTCGACGACATGTTAGTGGCTGCTAAAGACATGAGTGTTATATCAGAACTGAAGCAACAGTTAAGCATTAAGTTCAAGATGAAGGATCTCGGAGCTGCTAAGAGGATTCTTGGCATGGAAATCACAAGAGACAGGAGCAAAGGGATTCTGACATTGTCTTAGGAAGCTTATTTGGGTAAAGTGTTGGAGCTGTAGAAGATAGAGCAAGCTAAGCATGTGGTAACACCTTTGGGTGCTCATTTAAAGATGCGTGCAGCAACAGAACAACAACTACTCGATGATGAATACATGAAGACTGTTCCTTATTCAAACGCAGTTGGGAGCATCATGTACTCCATGATTGGTATGAGACCAGACTTGGCATATCCGGTGGGTATCATCAGCCGCTTCATGAGCAAGCCTATCAGAGAATATTGGTTGGGAGTCAAATGGGTGCTGAGATACATTAAAGGAACGTTAAAGACCAAGATGTGCTACACCAAAGGCTCTGAATTCACTCTCAGAGGGTATTGCGACTTTGATTTCGCAGCTGATGTGGATAAAAGAAGATCTATCAGTGGAATGGTATTTACTCTCGGTGGTAGTACAATCAGTTGGAGATCCGCTTTACAAAAGGTTGTTGCTCTCTCTACTACAGAAGCAGAGTACATGTCCTTAAATGAAGCCTTTAAAGAAGCTCTTTGGTTAAAGGGACTGCTGAAAGACTTTGGCTACGAACAGAAGTCGGTGGAGATTTTCTGTGATTCTCAAAGCGCCATAGCTCTTTCAAAGAACAATGTGCATCATGAGCGTACCAAGCACATCGATGTCAAGTACCACAAGATCAGAGATGTTATTGCTGATGGTATTGTGGAGGTGACGAAGATATCAACACTGAGTAATCCGGCTGATATCTTCACTAAGATTTTATCCGTGAGCAAGATGCAATGTGCATTGGACTTGCTACGAGTAAAGGCTGAGTAAGCGTACTCAGGGAATCCGGGATAGGAATCCAGAAACTAGATCTCTCTCTCTCTCACAGACTCAGGTAAATTCGCACACATTGGTTAATTTTTGATTGATCTCTCATTGCTAGGTGGAGTTTTGTTGAAGTTAGTAATGAAGTTCAAGTCAAAAGTCAGCAATGTGAATATGTGTGGAGCGGAAGTTTGCTGAACTAAAGTTTGACTCAAGTGACTCAGCATCTTTGGGACCACTTTGTTATAGCCGTTTGCTTCCCATCATTTAGTAACGAAGCATGAGTTGTTTGTCGTCTTCAGACAAGGGCCCTGTTTGGTGATCGTACAAACTGCAGAGGCTGTTTCCGGAGGCTGTCGCCGTTTGGTGCTAGGGCAATTTGGAGTTTCGCTATTTAAGTTCAGTAGAGGTTAAGAGAGAAAGTTAGAGCAGAAGTGAGAACAATACAAAAGGTGTAAACTTTATTGTCTTTGTTCTTGGGAGATACAAGGGCGTGAGATAAACCGAGAGAAACATCTTGTAAGAGAGTTTTGGGGTTTTGGATCTCTGTGTAACCTTGTGATCTAGTGGATTCCGGGAATAAATCCCGGCGAGACGTAGCGACCCGTGTTTATGGGCGTGATCTCGTTAAATCGTGCGTGTCTGCTCTGTTTTTTTCTTTCTTCTCTAAACCTCTGTTCTTTCCTCTGTTCTTTAAACGTGCAAGTGTTCGAGCTTATTCAAAGGAGCTCTTGGTTTGTTGTTGATTCTCAGGAGTAAATGCTTCACCTTTCGAGCCCAGAATCATAACAATAGCAATTTGTTATTTATCTGCTTTGTTTTCATTTTGTATTCGAATGAGAGTAGACTCTTGCATGTCATGTACTAGATTGCAATAACGAAAAACAAGTTTTAAGAAAAAAAATAACAAAAAGCAAAGACCGAATATATTATAAAAAAAATGACTATATTATATATTTACAAAAAAAAAAAATGAAAGGAAATTTGAATTTTTTTACAAAACTCAATTTCAAAACACACAATGTCTTCACACTTAAAAAATCACCATTTGATCAAATATTTGAACTAGTTGACAAAAAAAAAAAAGAAGAAGATCAAATATTTGAACTGTAGAAGTTACAAATTTGAACTGTAATAGTACAAATTTTGACGTTGTTCTGATGATGAGAGGAAAGGAAATAAATGTTTTCATCTAGCAAAGTCAACTTCAGAACATGTTTATAAAAAAAAAAAGTTAACCTCGGTCCTCAGAACTTGCTCAAAACTTTCCTGCCTTCATCTTATACACAAGCTGATTAGATCAAAGTGAATCGTTATATACATTATATACAATATATGCGAACAAAGGATGAATCATATTTTATTTTATTTTCCTTGTTATATCTTCTTCTAAAACAATATATGATTCCACACGTTATGTAGTATAAGACCACTTCCCACCTAGACAATTGGATGCAAATTTTTATTTAATTTATACTAAAAAGGTGTATACAGAGCTATTTAACGTATTACGCAAATCATTACAAAGTTTTTTTTTTTTGGTAAAAATCATTACAAAGTTGTAGTACAATGTATTGATATACAAAAGTATATAATATATAATATGAGACCCTCGAAAACCATTGACCCACACCATGGATTATGAATAATCACCGAACCTTACCACATTTCATGAATAAATATTCTACATAAGACCAATTCATAATCACTTTTCTTAGAATAATCAACTCAGATTTTGGAGACATCCTCACTCTTTCTTCTTCGCCTATAAGTTGAACTCCTCTCCTCTATTCTTATCTTATTACTTATCTTCTTCCTTTCTTCAGCTAAGAACAAACAAAAAAAAAACAAGTTTTAATTCCTTGATTTTTTTGTTTGTATTGCTTTAACAAGAAGCAAGACTGGCCTTATCTGTACCTTTCTTTCTGCCATTAAAGAACCCTCCATTTTGCTTTTTCCTTAATTCTAATTTTCTCTGTGATTTGATTCTCACAAAACTCAATTTCTGTTTGAGATTTCTTGAATTCATTATTTTTCTTAATTTATTTTCTTATATATTTGATTCTTACACACACTCATGTTTCTTCCTTGCAGAGAAACTCCTCCATGGATTCTCCGGCGAGCAAATCCTCCTCCGCAAAGAATGTCCAACTTCCGCCTCGCCGTGGAAGAGTGAAGCGTGAGATCTTCGGCGTTTTAGCCAATTCCATCGTTTCCGCCGCCGTGAAAGCCGGTGGTGTGTTCGGGAGGAAAGCTGGAGGTGGTGTTAGTGGTGGCTCTTCTTCCTCCACCGCCACTCCTCCGACGAGCGGCTACACTTCCGATCAGAACAGTGAATCCTCTTAAGCAACAAAACTTATAAAGACATAATTACGAAATTGCCACTGGTTTAATTCAACGCCATGGCATTGGCACACACTACTACTAAGAGGGGAAAGCTTGTGTGGTTCTGTTCGTTTTTGAAAACAGAACGCTGCTTTCTCCAAATCCGGTTCGATTTGATGTGTTTTTGTTTTAATTTGGTTTGGTATGCTCGGTTTTAACCTCGTTTTTTGGTGGGTTAAACTAGGAATACGTTTTATGGTGTGATTAATTTGCTTTTGTTAAACAAAAATATCTCCCTAATCTGTTGTTTCTGTCTACGTGTTTTTTAAGTGGAGTAATGATGTTCGTCTCTGGGAGATATTTTTGTGTTTTCAAAAAAAATAATTTGGTTTGGTTTGGTTTGGATCGACTCGTGATGTATGTTTGTAATTTAAATGCAATGTATGTATAATTAAAGTGTGTTTTATTTTTATTTTTTACTTTTGGAATTTAAAACAAGAAGTTGCAAATTTGATCGTAAATTAGTAATTAAGATAATAATAATTTACAACCATCGACGTGTACGTAAAAGTTTCTTCAGGGATAAACATTGGTATGAAATTACTTAAATTTGTTTAGGAGCTGAATGAGTGTCTTTTTGTTAAATTATTTGGTTTATAATTTATTTAATGTTGTTGGTTAGTGGTGATGGGACCTAATTTAATAAGTTAGGTTTAAAAGTGATGGCCAAACCAGCCACCTTCACTTTTGCCTTATTATAATTTCTCTTTTTTTTCTCAATATTATGGTTATAAAAAGAACATAAAGACCGTTTTCTCAATACTGTATTTGCATCAAATATGTTATTGAAAAGTAAAAGTAGAGTAATCATATTTTGAAACATACCCGAAAGCCCAAAAAAAAAACAGTTATCATCACTCTTAAAAAAACATGTGTAATATACGTAGGATGCTAAAAAAATATCAACATAGTTTATGAAAACTTTTCTCGAATCATTTGTAACACGTAGGATGAATTAAATACCCACATCAACTAAAATTTTAGTATTTAAAACGTCAAAAAAAATTAGTTGTTGAATAAACTCCACTTTGTACGAAAAAGAAACAATAAACTTAGGAGAAGAACAATGTTGTGGGAATAGACCAAGGAATATTCTCTCTCGTAATATACACTTCAGTTAACAATCATAGTTATTATTTTAATGCAGCTATTTATTAATTCATATAAGATTCTACATTTTGAATCATAATTGTAAAACAACTACACATATTAATAATTCTTGAAACACCACTATCTGTTTCCTTATTGGTGGTTTTGTACAGCTTGGGATAGATGTAAAACAGCTACATTAAGCATTCATTATTTCAAGCTTAGCATCTCTTATTAAGTGTGACTTTAAGCCCATGCTTCATGCGAAGAATAATACCAGGACTTGGCTCAATCTTGTGTCCCTTATCGACCTCAATGTCATAGTTTTGTAACATCTCCACCACTATAATCTTCAAATGGGTCATAGCTAGATGCTTACCGAGACAAGTTCTTGGGCCGGCATTAAACGAAAAGAACTTGTGGGACGGTTCATGTCTCAACCCTCCTGTCTCTAAAACCCATCTCTCTGGCTTAAACTCCATTGCATCTTCTCCCCAAATGGCTTTCATCCTCCCCATCGCGTAAAGAAAGACCATGATTGTAGCATTTGCATCGATCTTGTGTCCACTTGGAAGCACATCTGATTTTATAGATGACTTGCGTTGGAATGGTATTGGTGGATAGAGCCTCATTGTTTCACACAACGCTCCATGTAAGTACACGAGCTTGTCCAAGCTTTCTTGGCCACTTCCGGTTCTTGGTAGATTCTTGTTGATTTCTTGGCGAATCATAGTCGTCACTTGAGGGTTTTCAGACAAAAGCCAGAAGAACCAAGAGAGAACAGAGGCCGTGGTGTCTCTTCCCGCGTAAATCAAACCCACCATGACATCTCTGAGGAATTTATCATCATCATTCGGATTCAGGATCTCGTACTTGGCTTCATCTAGTTTCATGAAGAACGTGAAAACATCCTCATGGTCACTAATCCCTTGTTGTATCTCATCTCTCTTAGCTGATATGTATTTTGCACACACACGATCAATTATGGCACCAGCTTCTACCATCCTCTTTTCTTGTCCGAATCCTATCCACTTTTGCAGCTTCCAAAAGGATCTTGGTATAAGATTCCTATACACAATCGTTTCTTCAACATCGACCAATGCTTCAACGAACTCATCCTCACGCATTTCAATGGAGAGAGATCTAGGATCAGACCCGGTTATTGTAACTAGGGTTGTATCAAAGGTGAATCTCCGGAACACATCTTGCAAGTCCACGACCGTTCCTTCCTCCGCAAAATGATTGAAAAGAGGCAAAAGCACGTCTTTGAGTTTGCTTCTTGTGGTGCTCATTGAAAACCTTTGAAACCCTTGATGATGGAGCATGACCTGATAACATTTCCTCCGGTAACTACATCCCTCGGCATCTGAGTTAACTAAACCGTCTCCGAAAAACTCAAAGGTCTCTTGGAACTCGGGACCTTTTATGTAGTTGGAGAAGTTTGAGTTCATTATATGATGAATATTGGTTGGATCAACTGTGACCAATGTATCCATTCCAACAAACCATGGACCCTTGAGTGGGAACGTCATGTTAGAGTTCTCGAGAACCTCGACGCTGTCACCGATACGGTGAATCCTCACTAGAAAACCCGGAGACATCCCAACAATCGGCCAATTCCAAGGATAGCTTTGAAGGGTTTTCTTGATATGCAAGTAATCGAATGGTTTCTTGTTGAGAAAGTAATATAAAACGAGGAAGCTAAAGAAAGCTAGGAATGCTTCAAATAAGCCGATCGAAGCCATTAGTTAGAGAGGTTTGATGTGGTGTATAGAGAAGGTTAACAGAAGAAGATGAGTTCTCAAGTACATGTTTTCACAACATTTATATATATAATTACTAGAGGATTTATCTTTAAATTCACATCAAAGACATGTCTGGAAACAGCATGTCTGTATTTTAATAACCATGTGATCTTTGATCTAACAAATAAATCAAGAGCAGGAGTTGAATCCTATAAACACGGATTACGGATACCCTAACATTTATAGCATCCAGCGCAAAGAAACTTAAGTGTACGTAGTGTTTTTCTTCATGGGTAAGTTATACAATGAGAGTTTCTTTATGAGCAAGTAACTCAAAATGAAGAGATTTTAATTTTGCGTGTGGATATAACACGCAAAATTAAAACGAATGTTATCATTCATTAGGAATCTCTCAATGTCTTAAAAGTAAATAAATACACTTTCTTCCACAGTAGCTTTTGCCATATCACCAACACAAGTAGAAAAAAAAAACCGGTTTAATCAAACTTTGATTTCTTTAACCAAAATTATATAAAGACTTTAGCTCATGCATGTGTTAATTAAGCATATCAAGTGACATCTCTATTTGTTAACCAATTTCTAAGTACCTCCATGACCTAAACCAATTTCAGAAATCAAAAATCCTAATCCCATATACATTTTTCATATTCCACAAGATGAGAGCAAATTAATTTATGCGAGTATACAAAATATCAATTGTGATCAGAAGAAAAAAATTCAGCTATTGTGAAAACTCAACTATAGTTTGTGGGTTTAAAGAGAGATTTTTTATTAAGAATAGTCGGAGCTTGATAAAATACACAGATGTTAGATCGTCGGAATAAGAACGTCGACCTAAGCATTTAAAGGAAAGTAAATCGAGAGCTAAGAACAATTGGATTGCTTAATTTGCCTTAGGTCTCGAGAGGTGATTTTTGGATCATCTGAGAAGTCGAGGACTTTCCATATTTATAGCTGATCAGGTCAGTCTTCGATGTATGTCTAGAATAGGAAAGTCTTCTTTGCCGACCAGACTAAACTTCTCTTTTTTCTGGGTTTGCTTGATAAATGGAACATATCCATTTATTTGACCGACCTGATCCAGGCGAAATGGGCCGACCAGAATTCATGTCGGGCTTGTAGAGATGGTACGAATCTTATCTCTAACAGTAAGCCCCCCCCCCCCCCCCCCCCCCCCCCCCCCCAGTTTGGCAAGTGAAGACGCGTTACTTGGCGAATTTCAAGGTGTTGCTCGATATGGTTTCAGGTCGGCTGCCAAAAGAGTTAGAATATAAAAATGTAATGTTACTTAAAATTTCTGCTTGGCGCGATGACGAGGGTCAGATTGTGAAACTGGTGCGAAAAGTTCCCGCCAAAGCTTTATAGAGTAGGCCTAGGTCTGCGCATGCAGAACTAGGTTTGACACGTGTCAAATGTTAGGAGAATAGGGCAAAGAGGCCGATTAAAATAAAATGTGAAGAAATATGAAGGGTCGCCGAGCTTATGATGACTCTCGATAACCGTCCAGATTCTTGTATAAATAAGAGGGACTCGACTTCCATTTCTTCACTTTTGCATTTCTAGCGAAACTCTGTCAAAATCAGGTTTGCTCTCTTCTCTCTCTCTTCTCTGCTCTTCATTTATTTTAATTAGAAATCTTCGATTAGACTTCTGCCGTATTTTGTTCAATCCTCGTCGCCAATTTCCACGGTTCATCGTCAAAAACCCGATCAGAAGATGAGCAAAAGCGTGACAATCAGGGAAGGCCGATCTGAATTAGGGAAGAACAGGTCGGCCCAAGCGAAAGCCGATGAGAACAGCGTTTCCTTGGAGGAATTTTTAGAGATGTCTCGAGCCGACCAGGAGGTGCGGGATCGATCGAAAGGGAAGCAAGTCGTCGTTAATGATTCGGGATCAGATCGTTCCTCAGATGCAAGCGAGCTTTCTGCGCTTGATCGGGCGTTTCAGGAACGCGTTAGAGAGAAGAATCAACAGGTGGCGACTGATCGATTTCATGCCGATCAGGTAGGAGCCGTCCAAAGATCCGGGGAGACATCGTCTAAGGTTGAATTCGAGATTCCCGAGTTACTAGATGAAGCCGACGTGAGAGGCGGATCTAACGAAATGGATATCTCGGATGAGCTGAACGCCATCATCGCGGAAGAAGAAGTCAACTAGTTCGGTATAATCGACATGAATCCTCCTGTGAAGAAGACCAAGAAACGAAAAGGGGAGAAAATGATTAGGCCGACCTGTGATAACGCCTTGGGGGTGATGCCGAACAAGTCGACCATGGAGTCCCTGGTGACACCAAAAGAGGAGTGTGATATCAGCCCGAAGGTGATATTCATAGTCCTGAGCCCGTCAGAACGACCGTGGGATGCTCCTAGGGGGTGGTTATGTCTGTACGAGTGCTTCTTCAGGGACTTCCACCTTTGGTTTCCGCTCCCGAGGTTGCTGCTTGAATTTGCCAATCACAAGGAGATGTCGATCAGCCAATTCTCTCACAAGATAATTCGTCTGATCGTCAGCATGCTGGTGATGTCGATCAGGCACGACATCCCTTTGAGCTGAGCTGCGTTCGACGCAATGAAAAATACAAGGAGAACCAAGGCAAATCTGAGAAGTCGTGGTTCGTACTACACGAGTATGAAGACTCGGTACAATATCGTAACCGGTGGTCAGAAGTCGAAAGAGCCGGACTGGAGAGATCGCTACTTCTTCGTGCTGATCAACGAGTTCTCCGTCGTCGACAAGATATCCCAATTCGAACGAAATGGGCGGAGGTCATGGGTAGAAATATGTCTGACCTGAAAAGCTAAACAAACGTGTTGAATATCTGTTTCGCTAATCTTTGTTCTTTTTTGTCGCAGGCAACAGACACCTTCTGATTGTCGACGACCCGCTTGATATATACGAGATCTCGGAGAGGTTCGCGGCAATCAGTGCAATCACTTGGCCGGAGATTACAGAAGAGAGGATCGAAAGAACGAAAGGTATGAATCCTATTTTTGCTTGTTTTGCACCTGGTTTTAATTTGGAGTTAGAGCATCAATTTGGCTAACATCTTTTATTTTTCAGCTGCTCTCCTTCGTCGCCGACATCGACCAGAAAAAATGAAATCTTTCTCATTTAAGGATCTTTCTGCCGACCTTGAATCTGCCTTTGGATCTCCCAGTATTCGAGAGGCGGAAAATCCAGCGACCGGAGATCGTACTGAGGATGAATCTGCGAGGCTGATAAGGCAGCTCAAAAGAAGGCCGAGAGAGATTCGGCCAAAGCCAAGAGAGCGGCTGAAAGAAAGGCTGCCAGAAAAGCACACAGAGCTTGGAAGGAGGCCGAGCTGGAAAAGCATGGGGTCGAAGACACTCACGGTCTTGAGCCCGAGGGTGAGGACGGCAGCAGGGAAGTAAGCCCTGTTGACAAACGGCAAAGGGGCCCAGAAGAGCTTCCCGAAGACTCGCGAGGATCGAAGAGGTCCCGAGCTGAGAGAGAACTCCGTCCATTTGGGTTTTCTTATGAGTATCAGGGGAACAGTCCACTGGTGCATGACTCAGTGTCTTGCTTAGACTATTTCCTTCGACTGAGGGACAATCTAGCAGGAACTCCAATGGATCCCCACGGCTTTATTCGCAGCGATGCGATTGCGCGCTTTGCGCACGACCATGCCAAGTAAAAATACTTCGAACACTCCTTCGTAACTCCTTCATATGTTAAAGCGATTTCTAACGCTAATGCTCCGTGAATGCAGGCTTTGAGCACGGCATTGACCGTAATGCGTGATTACGACCAGGATGCTAAAAAGTTTTTGGCCGAGGAAGCCAAGAGAGAGAGAGAGTTCAGAAAACTCTTGAAGCCGAGCAGAGAAAGAAAGCCGAGCTGGAGGCTGCAATGCAACAAGCTGCCACAGATCTGGCAAAGGTCCGTGCTAGCGAAGAGGAGAAAAGAAAATTGCTTAGCCGAGCGGTTAAGCAAATTAAGAAGGAACGGGCTGATTCGCAGAGGAAACTCGAGGCTGAGCAGAAGGCTGCCCAGGAGGAGAAACTTGCCTTTGGGCAAGAGGTGGCAAAACGTGTGACGGTCGCGGTGAATAATTACTATGCGGGTCTGGTCGCAAAAGTGAAGGAATCTCTCTCTCGCAAGGAGAAAGCTCACGAGTTGATCTCGACCGCGGCTCAGTGGGTCGGGGCTAAAAGAGCACTCAGCATCGTTCGCAAACAGTGCTATGCCTTTCTGGCTTTGGTGGACGAGAATGTCGAGAAGATGATTGCAAAAAGCAAGGCAAATCTGGATGCCTTTGAAGAGGTTAGCTTCATGACGGAAGAGCTTCAAGTCCAAGAGGCGGAGGTCTTCCTCGAAGTCTCTAGTGATGTTCCATCCTATGCGGCTAAGACTTTAGAGAGAGCCGATCAGGAAAAGGAGCCAGAGGCCGATAAGGGTAATGGCCAAGATGCCGATAAGGAAGATGGCCAAGATGACGATAAGGCTGGCGGTCAAGAGACCGACAAGGAAAAGGGAGAGATCCAGGAAGAAACTGAAGATTAGTTTCCCCCCTCCCTTTTTTTATTTGTAATCAGATGTAGACTTTAATGTATTTTTCCTGCCGTTTGGTGCTTTTAATTAATCAAAAAGTTAGTTATTTGAAATCTGAATATAATCTGCGATTCGATATCGGCTTAATTGTTTATGCGATTTAATTTCTAAGTACAAAGTGAATAAGCGAGTGAGGTCGGCTAGTATTCGATACTTAGAAATGTTCAGAAGTCGAATGCGAGATGCGACATGGTCGACTTAGTTGTTTCGCATGACATAAAGATTGCAGAGCGGGTTCTAGCTAAAATTTGAAGTGTGAATACGAACGTGCGGGAGGCCCAGCTTACGATTATTCATACCACTTCTTTTCTAAGTGTGAATACTCGATGTGCGATTCAGTTCGGCATCAATTCATCGGTACCACTTAGAAGTATCCGAGTAGAATGCGGATGCAAGACTGACTTGGC